TGTTTGTACTACTATGAAAATAATTTCATTTGCAATGGTATTTCCATTGGGAGATGCTTTGTCTCCAGGGTAACTTCCCTGAGAGTGGTTTTAAAAGTCAGTCTGTGGAAAGTACTGCATCTTGTTTTGCAGTCTTCAAATGCCCCTTTAGACAGTAATAAAAGATGTTATTCTTCTTCTGATACTATTTTTGCCCTGACTTGGCACCTTCTTATTGTCTGAAAAGGGGGCAGAGCCATGGAGGTGTACTCAAGGATTTGATAAAGACAATGTGGGCTTCACTGTAACTTAGTGATCAAGTGAGAAAACACTAGATGGGACATGGCGTGGCAACATCATGGAATGCGCTCTGTGACAGGGTGGAGAATGGCTACTGGCAGAGGAGGAAGGAAAAGAACAGTTTTTTAGAAGGTGAGACAGGAATAAGGTTGCTTGAACAGCTGAGGTTGTTGAGCATGAAGATGATGGAAGGGTGTTATGGAGGCAGAAGCAGGAGGAGGAGAGGCAGAGCCAGATCCTCAGCTAACATCGCTTGGTATTTTTAGGAGTGCTTCCTGAGAGTGCTTTCTGTATATAAACAGACAAGGTTCCAGGAGGCAGCGGTGAGGGGGAGCGGTGTAACTCAATGATACTTGTTCCGCAAATAGTACATTGCAAAGAGCAAATTGTTTGACTTTATTAAACTGCAGCCTCCTGCAACAGATCAAGGGTCTAGTTTCTAAGCAAAATAATTGTAGCCTAAAGAAAACTTAACTGTTGAAAGCCTCACAGGCCCTAGATTCCTGTTTGACTTGGCTTCAGGAGTTGCATATACTCTTTGAACCTCAGACTATGAAGTAAATTTGCAAAGCACAAGCTATTTTGAAGCCCCTCTCCAAAGTAACACGTAGCTCAGCTTTGTTATCAGGAAAATACAAGACATGAAAAATAATGGGAGGAGGATAACATCTGGCAAGTGGACTTGACAATGCTTTGGAGTTCTGGAGGGGCTGGCAGGAGCCGGGCAGATCTGATCCAGACATCAGGGTTATGCAGAAGAAAGTCACACGGTCTTGGTGGGCAGTGCTGAAGTTAAAGCAGAAGTGGGAGCCACTGGCTAAAGTGGAACAGGCCGCTGTAATGCAGAACCAGGGGATCTGCCCGTGAGACTGCCTGGCTCCATCCTCACTTACAGGCGCTGTGTGTTACTTAGGGCGCTGTACCCAAAGAGCGGTCTTGTGTACGCTGAAGGCCATGAACAAAATGGTTACTCTGGAATGTGGTCAACTTAGGCTTGTCCAGTGGCTTGTTACTCAACCCTGACAAGTTAGTCTTGGTCACACTTAGTTTTTTAGCTTTGTGGCCTATTCTGGTCCCAATTCAGATTTTTTTTTTTTTTAATAAAAAAAAAAAAAAAAAAGGGGCAAAAGCTATGACTTAAGAAGGTCCCATAAGAGGGCCATCCTTGCTGCAGCAACCCCAAAGCTATCTGTGCAAGGAGGCATGAATTAATCCACCTGCAAGAAAAAGGCTGACACTCTTAGCTGTTGCCACTACACATGGTGGGTACCTGGGCAATATCCTGGCTGGCATTTCTTTCCATGGGAAACCTGTCCTTGGCAGCATGTCCTTCTGTGCAACTTGTTGAAAATTTCTGTCCTCTCTTCCCTTGGCTCTTTGCAGAGCAGATTTATGGTCCCACTTTTCTTTTACAAATAAAACCCTAAGTGCAAATCCAAAGGATAAATAACGCAGTGCAGACATGCCCGCAGCAATATTCTCTGTATTTATCATTGCTGAAAGTCTGGGAGGAAAAGCTGGTGAAGGCAAGATATCTTATGTGAGAAAACTGTTCTCATGCTTTCGTGCCAATTCTGGAGGCTGGAGAGCAATCCTGTTGTGCTTTTCCCCAAACATCCTGCTGCAGCTCAGGCAAACTCCAGGTGCCTTGTCTGTGAGAAGGGGCTAAGATGCCCACCCTCCCTCGCAGGCTTGCTGTGTGGGAAGTACACCAGCTCCACCACAGTGCTGGAGGTCGCTCCTTCATAAGCACGCAGAATGGATAGGTGCTCATAAATAAACCTCAGCGTTTGCTCTGCACTGGGCAAAAAGTAGGCGTGGAAAACATGGTAGCATCAACGCTGCTCTGTCCATTAATACGTCTGACTCTGCTGTTCTGATCGCTTCCACCCTGCCTGCAGTCTCAATTGATGCTGCTTTTGGCAGGTAATATTTAGCTAGGGCACTAGGCAAGTATGATTACAGCTGGTGCTGCAGAGGCAGTACACCTGCGGGGAGTGAGAGGGGCTTCATTCTGCCTGACTCAGCAGCAGCACAATTGACAGCTGCTCGCCAGGACCAAAGGTCTTGTTGTCAGCAAGGATGACTGGTGGAAAGAAGCTATTCCTTGTTGCTTGGGCTGAGCTGGCGGCTTGCAAAGAGCCAGCAACTCTGGATCTGGAAATTGTAGCACAAGATACACCTGGAACCACCCCCAATGTTTTCATTTTCTTTGTTTTGATCCCAGCTGTAATTTTAAGAGACTTTTGCTTAACTACACACAGGGGCAATAAGCCACCTCAGTGTGCAGCACATGTGGGTCAGAGATTAGGACTGCTTAATTGTCAACCACTACTGAGCCTGCACCTGTACCCCGCCAGGCCACCTCCATGATGCTGCAGCCCTTGCATAATTGAGGGAAGGTAGCGGTGGGCTCTGAAGGTACTGTCATCTGCTGGAGGGTGGAGAAACTGCAAGGAGATGGGGGGACCTGCCTCCCACTGTCTGAACTTTGCAGCAATGCAAAGTACTGGAGCCAGCCCAGGCTCTTCTAGAACGGGATTTTATGTCCTGGGGTTGGATAGTTATTTTATTGTCTTTGTGTTAGTGTTTTGACCTCTTGTTCTTCATTCTTTAGTTGGGTTGGGTTTTTTTCAGAGAGAAGAGGAAGCCTCCACTATACACCTGTAACAGTGACATCCAGCCAGCAGCCCTGCTTTGCCAGTGCCCTGGCTTTCCTGGTGGGCTGCAGCTCCAGCCGGACTTACTGCTCCCAGCTGCGAGTCACGCATGGCAGGGGAAATCTATGGTTGTCCCTGGCCAGTTGAAATAGTCCCGCAATGGCTCACAGGCCTCAGCTGTGAGCTCAGTCACTCAGAGAAGTTCTTCATTTTAAATTCCCTGCAGCCACAGATGTTTCCAGATGTGCAGCTTGCTGGGAATTATGACCTGTCCTGACAGGCTCAATGCACGGAGATTTTGGACCATTGTGTTTCATACGCCCCTTGTGCTTTAATATAGTGCCATTTGGCTTGGCATAGGCTGAGTTACAGAGACTTGAAGAAAGGCAACTGAAAAGACTACTCACAAAACGGCTTCAGCATGGTCTGCAATAAAAAAGGATCCCCAGGCAGACCGAAGTGGAGGAGACCCAAGTGCCAGGAGTGGTTCAGCCACCATGCTCACTGAAATCTAATCTCCTTGCTGTGGCAGCCAGTAAGAGGTCTGTGAAAGCTATAACTTCACTGATTTTTCCATCATTAGCTATGACCTCCCTTCTGGCCACTTGCTCCAGTCTCAAAGGATGGGACCCTTTCTGGAGGTGAAGACCTATCTCTGTTCCCTGAGAGGAAATTAGTCTGTAGCATTGCTTGTGTTCTATTTACTATGTTTATAGAAGTGGGAACACCACCTGAACTTCTCTATAGGAAATCATGTTTCCATACTGCATTATGAGAAATGCAGTGGAAGTGTGCTATGCTCAGTTAATCTTTTTTTTTTTTTTTTTTTAATGTACGGAGGCAAAAGAAACTTCACTTCAGAACGAGTATATGCTTCTCTCTTTCTATTCAACATCCATAGTGCTATAAATACAAACTGCAGGGTACTTTCAGAATTGCAATGCTTTAAGACCTCTCAAGGGAAAACATCACACCAAATTAATCTGCCGTCAAGTGGAAATTCTATATTGTTTGCATTTGCCAATGTTCTGTATGTGGCTGTAATTGCACTGAAGCAAATATCTGCTTCGAGTTCTTCACAAGATTAAATGTGGCCAATTGGGCGTAAAAGAGTAATCGAAATGCAGAGCTGCTGCTTTGGATTTATTAGAGGCATTGCTCATTTTTGCTCTGACACGATGACACTAGGTTCTGGCTTTCTGTTAAACCAGGGAAATTTAGGGAATGTGATTTGGAGCACTGGGTTGCAAGCCAAGAGGAGGACGTTTCTGTCTGGCGCTGTTGCCACCCTGCAGTGCGTCAGCGGGCAGTGTGCCCTGAGGGTGCCCCTTGCCTTATGCGTGCGAGGGGACCCCTTCCTTCCCTCTGACTAGCAGGGAGGCTGTCGATAGCCGTGCGGCGTCTGGCTGGGGCCTCCGGTATCGGCTCCTGAGGATTTCATGGTCTTTTTAAGTTCTGAGTATTTGCCATAGATTTGAAGCTGAAAGGACTTGTGAAGGTCCCAGCAAGAGCCTCCATGGCTTCTAATAGAGAGCGCCCAAGGTCTGAGTTGGATCCTGACTAGTGTCACCATGTCAGACTAAAGGAGCATGTCAGCTTGCAAAACCTGAAGTCTCACCCTATGCCAGCTGGATATGAAATGTTAAAGATTTGCTTAAAAACCTCATGGTTTCTTTTTCTTTTTACTAGTTTAGCCATTTTCCCTCTTGCCATATAAATGCAATTATAAGCAAGTTAAAAGTCTTTTTTCAAGTTGACTGTGCTGCCTTTTAATTCTGCATGAAAACCCAACTGCTCCCTATGCCCTGCCCAACAGGTAGTTAAATAAACAGGTCCAGGTGGGCAAAACTGCCAGTTTGAATCCTTCTTTATTTCATTTTCTCTCAATTAGTAGGCTTATCCAAAAAATACATACTGAACTCCTACCAGCTTGCTTATGCTCAGCAATTTCCCAAGGAGTTTCTCAGTGCAGCTACAGAGCAGTCCTGACAGCATCCTCGCGCTGTCTTCCATGAGGGCAGCATCTCTTGGTCCGGTGCCAGGAGACATGCCCCCCTCGCACTAGCAGGCCTTTGCTCCTCTGCCTTTCCCTCTTCCTAACTGGAGGTCCAACTCCCGAAGTTGCTTGAGGAAGCCAGAGTTGGGGCAGATCCCTCTGTGTGAGCGTACAGTCTGAATTGCGTCAGCGAGGGACATATCTTCACAGATCATTAAGAAAGCGAGGACTAGAGTTGCAGATCGGCTGATTCCCATTGCACAGTGAACTAGCACTTTGCCTGGAAAAAAGGAGAGAGAGAAATGCAGTTATGCCAGGAGGCCAAATGGCGTGGTTTATCGTGCAGGAGCAGAGGTGGAAATGGTGCTGATACTGGGGCTGAGCAAGCAGGTATGCTCAGCCCTGCAGAGCAGACCTGGTGCAGTGCTGGTTGGGGAGCAATGGGGTTTTTAATGGCTGGGGACAGAAAATTCATAATTGTATTGCAGGATCCATGATTGCCCTTGTTTGGGCTTGGCTGTCAGCCTGATGGCTTAGCCCTCCTGCCCGGCTTGTTGTCCATGGTGTCCCTGCTTGCTCACACGTGGTTTTGGGAGTGATGTACTTGCTGGTGAAGCTTCAAGTCTTCATACTTGAAGGTCGTGCTATGGGAAACAGCCTTGGTGCGTTGCTTACTACCAGAGGGCCTGGAACCTTGGGATTTCAAATGTGCAATGCTCAGGAGTGTTCACTGTTGATAGAGGAAGGCTCCTGGTTTTCCATAAGCTCTTTTTTCTTCTTTGCTTAGGGCAGTAACACTTTCTGAAGGTGCTGACTGCTGCCCAGACCTTGTCGGGAGTGTGTTGGAATATGGGTGTTACCATTAAGAACAGCGGCCTGTTTGTACATGCTATTTGCACCAGCTTGCTTACATTTTTTTATTTCTATAGCCTACCTGTACATCTATAGTCGCTGTTCTTCCCTGACGCCTTCGTCTGTGTTGGGTGATCACTAGAAAAATGGTTTATGAAATGTTTTGGGTTCCCCAGAGATTTCAATGTGAGGTGTGCATCTTCATTAAGAGTTCATTAAGAGTAATACTGTAATATCCATGTTGCTGTAAGCAAGCCTCAGGGAAGACCTTCCAGGGATCCAGGAGCTTAGCTCCCTCCTTCCCTCTGCTCTGCTTTTGGTTTCTCTGCTGTGATCACTAATGGAAGCAGCCAGAGAAGTGCAATTCTGTATCATGACTACTTCCCAGGTTTCTAATGAGTGCCTTTGACCCATGCTGGAAGGAGAGAAAGATTTTTTTTTTTAAACGGTCTTATGTGAAATTAAAGGAAATTTTGTCAAAAGGTTTGCTTTCAGATGAAAAAATTCAGGTTTGTAGTCCTTTCCCTCTGGATGTGAGCAAAGAGCTTATTCTGGAAACTGAAAACCTACATCTTGTAAATGTTGTAAAATGTTTCAAGTTTCACAAAAATTGTATAATTTGATGAGAAAATTTTAATTGGAAAAAAAATGCTGTTGTTCTACTCAATTATAGCCATGCCTGAAAATTTTCAAACTCTCTTGTCCTTTGCTGCAGTCAGATCTAGTCTTTTCACAGAGACCATGGCTCAGCAATTGGGCATTATTGAAGTAACCAAATTTGAACTTCTGACCACCTAATGGATAGCTCTGTCTCCCATTAAGGCAGCTAAAAAGATGTTGTATTTTTAGCATGAAAATTTCAGAACACTTCTTCACTGGAAATCTTCATAAGTTTGAAATGAAACTTTTTCTGCATTTTTTTTTTTTTTTTAGACTGTCACATTTGTAGTGTCTTGTTTACTAATTGTATAGCTCTGCAAAAATGCAATTTAACAACAATACAATTTATATCCAGAAAAACATGAAAATCAGTAAAAACAATCCCATGTTGCTTTTTTTCCTTTGGAGGTGGAATAAAGTATCTCAGATGCTGCTTCTTTGTAAAAATGTAAGGAGGGGTAGAAAGAACGGACAGCTTTTCAGGGCTAGTTCCTTGTTTTGTTTGTGCTTATAGCATCTTAATTTCTCTATTACCAGGGAGCGAGACAAAAATATCCTTGCTGGATGATGAGCCTAGATCCAGCCATAAACCTCAGACTGATTGCCCCCATCTCCCCGGGTGTTAATTCTGGGTACTTTGCGCACAGCTTTTCATCTTAAATCCCATTTTGTTTGTGACAGAGTATTTATTTAGCAACCATTCCAGTTCTGACTAATGATGATGGCGTAGCCACATGCTCGGAGAGCGCGAGCATGTGTAGTAAAAACCTGCTCTGGCCAGCAGGTTGAGAGAAGTGTTGAATTCCACAATGTGTGTGACACAGCTACCTTTCATTATCCTGGCACGAGAAATCTGAGCTCAGCCCTAAAGATAGACATGTCTTCAGTAGAAATAAAGGGACAAATATAGTCTCCAAGGAAGCGGCGAAAACAGCTCTGGTGACAGCAGCCTTGGACTGGGCATCGAAACCTTTGGGGTAAGAAAGAGGTTTTTCCAACATAATGTCAGTTTTGCAGAATTAGAAGATCAAGTGATTTCTATTTGTATTTTCCCATTCAGATACAGCTTCATAGAATTTATTGAGATACTGATGCCATTATTCAAGTTAAATTACATCTATCCGTCAATTCCATTAACTCCATGGGGATTCTTTGAAGTGAAGTCCTACTTTTTATGGGAATATGGAGAAATGCTTTGCACCCCTGCTAGAAGACAGTGCTAATTTGAATTTTCACTAGACTTATTTTTCAATGTGCTGCACTATCATTAGCCTTCACAGCAACCTTGTGGGATATGTATGCTGTATTACCTTCCCCAGAGGAGGCACTTCAGACCCAAATAACTCAGGTCTGAGATTTTCAGAGGAACGTAAAGGAGTTAGGAGCACAATTTCTCTTTGAGAAATACTGCTAATAGGGCTAATACCAAAAGGTCTTTGGAAAATCCCTGCTTAGTTTGCGGCAGGCCTAACTGCAGTGTAGTGACAGGGACTGGGGAAATCCAGACACTCAGCCTAATGCACACCCCAGACAAGAGAAGCCAAGGAACAACGTGTTCTGAAAAATTTTCTTGGAACCAGAACCACTTTCTTTCTTTTTTGGTCTGAAAAATTCTGAGCTACCAGCACTCTACAACTAAAAGAAAAAGAAATTATATTTATGGTTTGAACTGCACCAGGAGGGGGAAAAAACCAAAAAACAACCAAAAAGAGATGGCCTTGATGTTGGATTTGATTTTGAATCACTAAATATTTTGAAATTCAATCTAAATTTGGCCAGAAATTGGATGGGGGACAGGAGACCTGCTGTTCTGAACCTAATTTCTCTAAAATTGTTCTTGGGTCCATTTTTTTTCCACCCAGATGGAGCCTTCTGCTTTGGAAGATGCTCAGCCCCACCTGCAGTCTGGAACTGAAGACAAATGAGCACAGGTACGGATGCTGCCATTAAATATTGCCTGATGTGTTTTTGTTGGGGACACAGAAAGCTGAACAAATTCCAGACTCCTGCTTGTACGGGCTGGCTCTCTACCATTTTATATCTAACTCTGTGTCTGAGAGGAGGAGGTGGCGAGTAAGAACACACTGAATTTGCTCCCCTGCTTCTCTGGCTTATCTGCACTTCAAAAGAGTCCTTCTAGATCAGCAACTAGCTTTAGAAGGTGTCTCAGCAAAAACCTGGACGAGCCCCAACTATTGACCTTGGACCAAATCTGCATGGCTCTCTAATACACTTGTTCCCATGAGGATGCAGGTATGTTATCTCCTTTACATGCGCAGTATCTGTTCCACATTGTTAGCCTTTGTTTCACCACGCACAGAGGTTATGATAAATGCTGGTACGCTGACAATAAAATAACTTTTTGCTGCAGATAAATCAGTCATGTGAAATGATTTAATTAACGTAAAATTGCTCTAATGAAAGCAGATTTGAATTTACTATGTGATTATTTGTAGCAAACGAACTGAACATTAAACTTCAGTCAGGAAACAAAAACTGTGTTGCTATTTGGTTCTGTTTACAGGCTCAGACCCTCATCTCTTAGCAGCAGCTGTAAGTGGGTTGAGTGACACTGAACCCACCGTGATATACTGCATTTGAGTAGCACCTGCAGCATGTCTGCGCCATCTGGGCTGGCTGCAGCGGTCTCGGTAACAGCGCGCTGCATCGGCCTCTCGCGGGAGGCGGCCGAGATGCGCCCTCCCAGCACCGAGGCTCGGATTTCCAGGTGGCTGCTGGACCACGGCCTGGGAAAGCAGCGTTCACAGAGGCAGTCGTGGCGCATGCCCCTGTCATGGGGTGGGCAAGGAGGTTATAACCAGATCTGCTGTACCACAGAATCCGTGCCACAAGCCGACAACCTCCAAATCTGCCTTCCCCGCCCCCATTTGCTTTAACCTACAGTGCAAAGAGAAGTTGGGCTGATCCCACATTAGAGGGCCATGTTGCAACCTTCTCTCTGAGCATGTAACAGGATCCCTTAGGAATAATGGGATTAACTGAGGAGAAGTGGGGGCACTTAGCTTCTGGCATTATTAAATCTCGCAATCCTTATTTGAAATGTTGCACCGCACATCTCAAGCTACTTTTTGCAGCGGCAGACAATAACTGTCATCTGGCTGGGATTTGTGCAGAACAATAACACTTGGTTTTTAACAACGGATTATGGATATTATATCCAGCTCATGCCTGCTGTAACTCTACTGACATCAAAGGGTTTGCACTAGGGATAAAGTTTGCACATTCAACTTTGTTGGCCAAATTCAAGTTGGGAAATTCAATGTTGTTGAACGAATTAGTCATTAAAACACATAATATCTTATTGTCCTTTTGCTACTCATCATTAACTGAGCTAAATGTCCTGAGCTAGCCCTTGCTTTCTTGCAGGATGAATTCAATTTGGCTTAAGACCAGGCTCCAGACGGTCACCCGGAGTGAACGCCTCAGCTGCCCTTGCTCCATTGAATCCAGCAGAATTATGCTGCTCACCAGGAGGAGAGCTCAGCTGGGCTGGTGGGCCCCAGGGGCCTCTTCCCACTCCACTGTGGTTTTCTCATCTCCTGTTACATTTTAGCCACCATCCTGTAGCCAGGTGCAGAATCAATTGTCTAATTCTTGATTAATCAATTGTCTATTTTGTCACAGCTGAAAATAGCAAGAAGCCTACGGAGAGCTTTAAATGGTGGTGTGTCCCTTCTTCCCACGCCTCCTGGAACAGGTAAGGGCTGTCATCTGCTGGAGAGTGGGAGGTGAAACTGATGTATGTAATGCGCCTACGGCAGAGTCAGGAGAGAGGACCCTTTTCTCCTGAGTTAAGCTTCTTTCATAACCGCCACCAACAAGAAGAAGGCAGGAGAGGGAGCCTAGCTTTTTATTTGCTCCAGTGAAGTGGAAGAAGGGAAATGCCTTTCAGAGGGTTTGCCATTTCAAGAAGTCAATGGGTGATTTTAACCTGCCTGTTTTAAACATGTTCAGAGGTCAATAAAAGAAGCAGCTCTCTACTTGGGAATCTTTCTCTCTGCATGATGTTAGTTTAATAGTTTTCATGGCATGCTTTCATCTCTCCCTCTTCTGCTAAATTTTACCAAACCCTGCTGATTTATGCTTAGGTTTAGCTGCACTCCAGAAAAATGCAGATTGTACAGATGGCTGTGCAAAGGGGCAAGACTGATATTCAAGGTGTTGCCCCTGCATGAGCATGAGCATGAGGGAGAAGGCCAGTACTTCCCTGACACCATGTTTCTCCTTGCAGAGGAGGAGGCAGATTGTGCATCTGCTTGCTCTTGGCTAAGCCTTCCCAAACAGCTCTGTTACGTGGGCAAAGGAACAGCAGGGCTCTGCTGAAGGAAAGGCAGCCAAGGAAGCAGAGTTCATAAAATAATGCTTATATGGCATGGCTGTAATAGTAGCACCTGTGTTTCTTAATCTGTACGACAAAGATGATGAAGGAAGTCATTCAGGGTGTGATGCAGCCATTGACCACTGTGACAGGAATAGCTCCCAATTAGGAGTATGTGAGTGCACGCTCCCCTACTTCCTTTTGCTCATGCTCTGGCATTCGCGTTTGAAGAAATTGCCTTAAAAATAAATTCCTTATATCACCAAAGACATATTCTGTTCAGCTAAGGTAGAAATCTGGAATAAATCTGACCATGCTGTTTTCTGGACTTCTGGTATAAAGCATCAGAATTTTTCTTCAAGCATGATGGGAGTCACAGTTCTTACTTAATTCTAATGAGTATTTGATTCATAGTTTTAAACATGTTTGTGCCTCATATAGTCTTAACTTTGACTTATCCTCCCAGATGAAAAAGATAATTTAATTCCATTAAAAAAAAAGATGTTGAATTTGCTTGTGACAGTTAAGCAGCAGTCTTAAATGACTTCTCAGTCTGTACAGAAGTACCTCATTACATCCTGAGTTTAATGTGAACAGGCCTCTTGTCACCTGGTATAATTTTTTTGTTCAGCATCACTGCTTATAATAAATGCCATTTTTTCTCTTTTTCTAAATGATGTGAGTAACAATCCCCTCCCTGTCTCATCCCTGCACAGGTCATGGGTATTTAGCTGCTGAATTTCTGTACCTCAGGAAATTATGCTTCCAGAACATCTTGTTTATATATTTTCTAAACTGTTGCACTTTCCTTAAAATGATGAATGTCAGTAACAGCTGGACTGTATATGATTGAATTTCACCTTGTCTCCATTCCCAGAACCCTGCTTCCATATGGAGTTCAGTAAAGCAATATCTAAAAGCATGGTAGTAGGGATAAATATGCACCCTAGACATGATGAGTTCATTGTGTTTGCCTTGAGCCCTAACTTGTTCTGCATTCATAACTTTCAGTATTTGGGCATGCATCTTGCACTGGTTTTGTTTGCTTTTGTGGCCATCACGATTCATCTATTGTTTTCTGTCTTTTGTCAATTGATTTGGAACTTTTTTTTTTTTTCCTTACACACGCATGAAAAGATTTTGGATCTTACCTTTCTCTGGAGCACCACCAATAATGACTTCAATTGCAAATAGCGTATGCTGTAATAGAAATGGGTGCAGATCCAAATTCCCCAAATATGTTAGTGGTTTTGAAATCCAAATGCAGCCCTCAGTTTCACAAAGGCGAGTACTTTCTAACAGGATGGATCAAGCCCTTCAAACAGCAGTAAGCACTGAGGTATCTAGCACAGAGGTGCACTATTTTCAGTTACTGTGTCTCCCTTTCCTAGTTTGTATGGTGTAGATCAGATTTACTAGCTGCCTATGATTAAGATGGGTAGTTAGTATTTTAGGATCCTCATTGATATTAAAGCTATCCATGATGCAAGCAAAATAGTTTGCTGAGTGTGTAACTGTTCTCTTAATAAATCACTTACTTTTGAGTGGGTATCTGTACAGTTTTGTGGCGCAGTGGAGACTTGCTTTTGTGAAGGTTTGTCCTTAAGAGTAATGATCCCCAACTAGCCCCAGGCTTCTGGCATTGTACCTGGCCTGTGTTTAGTGAGTCCAAGGATTTTGCGAGTTATCTTCCTACTTCAAGGTTATACTCCTTCTAGAAACAGCATGGCATTATCTCCCAGCTGGTGGTGTTGCTTAGGTTCTCTTCTACAGAATTGCAAGTTCTTCTCTACCCTGTGTTTGTAGGACTTGCACAGATTGTAGCATTATAGTTGATTCTTCTTACTCAAATATGATGCTTGCCCTTGTCTTTTTACCCTATCCCAGATTTTATTTTAAACCCCATCGCTAGTTTGAGATGATCAAGTGTATGTGCCTCTTCCCAGGTCAGTGTGTCCCTATAGGTAAGGAGGGATACTTACTAGTTTGTCTTTTGCTAATGAATAGCACCAGGCATAGGGAAAACCCCTCTGAAAGCCTGTTCAGTGCATCCTGCCCTCTTTCAGGGAAACAGGGGAACTCCCACTCACTGTGGGAGTTCAGGCGGCAGGCGTGACGCTACTTGGTTTGGGTGTCTCCATTCTTACCCACATCTGCAAGTGGTTGGTTTATGCCAAATACTATTTGATAACTTGCCCTACTTGGCTCCTAAGCAGAAGGTATGCAACATGCACAGATGGTCTAGTTACCTCTTGGGGAATTCAGTGCTGCTTTTATGTATCCAGCAACTGGGTAGAAGTAAATACTGAGATCAAAGTTTGGGCTGTCCTCTGCTTCTACTCCGTAGTAATCCACAGGCAGGTCTTTGTAGAACTTGGGTCCAGTGTTGATGTGAAATCGCCCGGCAGCGGCATTCACAACATGGGAGATGCCCATTCGGCTCAGCTGCACTTTGTCACGAGCGACGTACCTGGAAGAAGGACAGGGGGTTATATTCGCCTGCCACATGACAATGCGGGGTAGAACATGCTGCTGATGGTGCAGTTTGTTAAAACTGCATGAAATTGTAGTGGCTATTTTCTGACAGGTTGATCGGGTACAAAGTGTCCACCAAAATGCTTCAAGACAGAAGTGGCTCATCAAGAAACTGACCTTTATGTTTCCTGCATTTTTTTTTCCCCAAACATCCGTTTAGGTGGTTCTTCTCAACTGACAAAAAGTAAAAAGGTGGCGGTGGTGATATTTCTGCACAAGCCAAGAGTTTTCTGGTTTGCTTTCTCACCAGGTCACCTGTGCTGGGCATCCATCAGTTCAGGGGACTGATGCCACCTGGCAATGTGAAGAGAACACAAGGCTGATCCTGTTCTACCTAGCTCTGGCGTCACCGCCATGCCACGGCCCCACCAGGTTGTTGCAGTGTGGGACTCCTGTACTAATGCAGGAGGAGAAATCAGGAGGGGGAATATTCTTTTGGGACACTTTTGGGATGCCTTTTCTCTATGCTACAGCATCCTAAGCACAGTTCAGCCTTGCTCAACACTTAGACTTACTGTGAGGCACCAAATCAGTGCCAAGCTCTCTTTTTAAATAAAGGGTAGATGATTTCAGGCGGTATAGGGCGGGGGCTGAGAGTTGCATTAACACCTTCAACCCTTCCCTCTCTCTTACAGGTCTCCCACGTAAAGGTTTGGCCAGACTTCGTCCACGTGCCCCGAGGGGTGTGCGCGTGTCCAGAGCAGGCGCCGCAGCTCCTCCAGGGACGGTGTTTCGGGGCTGCTCTGGCTGCCAGGCGTCCAGCTCGAGGCACTTCTTATCTTGGGGCGCAGTAAGTCCCCGCTGCACAGGGAGTCCCAGGCCATCCTGAAAGGTGGAGGGCAGACATTCACCACCAGCCAGAGACTTTCTGAGGTCGCCCTCTCTTCTTCTCACCCTCCCTTACCCCCTCACAAAGCTTGCCCACAGTTACAGCAGTAAGCTCTTTGGGGCAGAGACTGCCTTTTTCTCATGTGTTTATCACAGCAGAGGCCATGACTGGACTTGGGAATACTGTTGCAATCTAAACAATGACAGTCCAATGGCTCCCATAGTCCCATGCTGTGGTTCAGACAATGATTTTGAAGCCTGTGCTTCTTAAGTAAAGTTGTATATTATTACGGCAAATTGGAAGCTAAAGCTTTTTCAGACTGCTAGGCTCAGGGCCTCAGCAGACTTATTTTGACCTGACTACTCAACCCTTCTTTCTAGGTATGTCAAACAGTCGATTAAAACTTCATGATTATATTTTTAAAGGTTTTTTCACGGTACTATGAACTTTCCCACTTCCTACTTGGAATTCTAGACACTATTACTACTGCAGTGAAACAGACCAGTCCTCAATATTCCAGCACGAGAGTTCTGCTTTTGAATGGAAAAAGGTAATGCTATGGAAAATGTCTTGTGTAAATGTAGCTACGCAGTGGGTATAGAAACAAGTTACTAATTTGGTATGCTGAGCTTTTCCTTTAACCACGTAACTAGGACTTGCTTATATAGACTTTATCTGATTTGTCTTTTATAATTTGCTCAACAAACTGAGCTGAGCTGAATAGAATTGGTCATGCAAAATCTTATTCACTTGTTAACTCTTAATTGTCAGCTTCAACAGCGGAAACTCTGTAAGGAGTATGTTGGTTCTTTCCGATGGTAGTTGCCAGCCATACTTGTTGTCCGGATGACAAATGTTCATGGTAGAAAGAATCTGCGTGAGTAAGTTATAGTGATTCCAGTTGCCGTTCAGATTAATTATATGTTAATTAATATATATA